TTATTCCTGTTTGCACCCCAGACACACACACACACACACTAATTAAGTTAACCCTGATCCCATGAAGGCCTTTCCTCCTCTTTAGTGCCACTGATTCAATAAGACTCCTTTTTGACTTCCCTAACGCCCCGGCTGTGTTTCAACAGCAAATCCCAAGTGCTGACACACACACACACACAGACACTACGGCACAGCTACTAAACTACATTGGGCACGGTTCCTTTGTCCCCGGCATCATTTAATTGACAAATGAGCGAGACGAGCATTGTGTGTGCAGCTGACAGTGGACTTTTTTGTAATGTAACGACATGGCAATGTTTGAGGTGTACACAGGGACATCTGCCTCCAGTCTGGCTTCAGAGAGGGGCATTATGGGAAGGTTAGTCAGGGCAAGGCTGAGTGAGCAGTCACAATGATGTATTCAGAAATGGCAAGTGTAATGTTTGCATTCATTTGAATTGATACAGCTGTGACAGTCGAACATCGAGCGAGCGTTAGCCACTTTGATAGCCACAAATCTGTTGCTGAGTAGTTGCTAGGGAATTATGGGTGGTCGCTAACAAGTCTTAAAGGGATAGTGATCCAAAAAGTGAAAATTCTGTTATCATTGACTCACCCTAGTGTCTTTCCAAAACATTATACAAAGCACAGTGGGTTAACACTAAACAACACAAACATACACACATGCACACACTAAATCAGCTCAATAACGAGCTGCTAATACACATGCACACAAGTTCACACATAACTATGAAAACAAATCACACTCACTATCTACAACTGTGTAACTGACACTTTAAAACCACCAAACACACTCTGATGTTTTCTCCATTCAGTCGGTCTGTGGTCGCTGGAAATGAAAGACACTTGTGCATGTTGGAAACTAAGAATTGTTTAACCCTTAGAGGCTTCAGGGACTCAAACTGAACCCACAGTTAACATACCTCATTCACCTACAGTAGTTTTTACTTTTTTATAATAATTTATAATTGTATTTTGAATAAGGCTTTAAAACATCAACAACAATTTCATTTTGCCCATCTAACTTATAAGATCCAAGACAGTACTTGTAATTATTTGGCAGAAAAATCTATTCAGAATAGAATAGAATAGAATGCAATAGAATTCTGGCATGATTCTTTGGTGGATCATGCTAAACATATCTATCATCTTTTTCTTTGTGATTGATGAGGACATGTGAATTCCAGCACTGACATACTTGATTTGAGGGTGGAGGGGGTAACCTCTATCTCACTGCCCAGGTAGGGCTGCAGGACGCTGAGCTCAGGTTCAGAGGGGTCAGGGCTGGAGCGACCGGACGCCACACTCCCTCCGGGACTCAACATCGCCCTCTGCTGGAGCTCCATCTTCTCATACACAGCCTTCAGCTGAGGACAGCAAACACAAAGCAGATTAGAAAACAGAAAAAAACATCACTAACTAACAAACAAGACATACAGCTAAAAATGTACACTGTATATACACATCATATCTATTTTACAGGACATCACAAGAGACACACACAAAGCTGAAAACAAAGAGAACTGCAGGTCCCAATATATGGGCATCGATCAAACTGTTTACTTTTTTGTTTTGTACAAAATCCATACCACAAATAATTTGCCCAACAAAAATTACAGTATGAAAACGGTGAACACTGAATATGACATCATTCCTCAAGCTCATTCATTTAAAAGTATACGCAAAATAAAAAAGGCACAAAGATTTGTTCAGTGGAAGGTAGAGTGGATGGTCAGTGCCACTGTACTACTGATAATTCATTCTCACTCAGAGCAAAGCTCTGAAATACACAGGCCAATATTAATAATAGATTTTCAAAAATTACTATGAATGTAATACTGGAAGAATAGAAGCTGTTTCCTTTGGACGTACAGTATGAGAAAGTCTAGATAAGTTACAGTGGTCCCAAAATGTTTTTGGACACTTCAGCAACACTAAAAAACACCTGAATGTAAATAAACAAATAAATAAATAAATAATAATAAAAAAATTTAAAAAAATTAAGCTTCATTAACACTAAAAGTTTACAATAGTTTATATTATTTTTTTTCATAAAATAAAACATTACTTAAAATATGTATTATAAAGTACTTTATTTTATATAAAATGTAATTATTAATAATTAATAATATAACTTAAAATTTATACCAATCAAAAACAAAACATGAATATATTTAGCATGTCTTGATGCTGGCAGTCCAATCGCATAATGAATCGGATGCTACTGCTGGTTCATTCGCCACACTGGAAAGGTCAAGTTGAGTGCATTGCATTGTGGGATGCAGTGCTCCCAGGAGTGTTTGCTGTTCACATGTCGGCAAATATAGGCAATCCTTAGCAAACAGTGCACAGTACACATGCCACAAATATATTGCTAGTATGTTAGTATGCTATACTGAAAAAATAAACATGCTTATCTCTTGGTGAGAGATGGTATTATTCCAGCAGGTGCCTCAAATGGCCCGAAATGTAATAAGTAATTGCTAACGAGTTAATATACACAGCCATCAGACAATAATTAGACACATTACACCGGCAACCGCTAATTGTCTATAGAACAGACTCTAATGTAACGGCTGAGAGCTTATGTGAAATGCATTGGTCGAGTAGCTTACAGCTTTTTTCCAAAACCAGTTGCGATCATATAAACAAGACAGGCAGTATGATAAACAAATATAAAATGAAATTAAAAAATAAAACCCAAGCCGACAAGTGTCTGTGAGCACATGCGTTAAGCATCAATGGTCAAATTAGATGTGACAAGGGACTCAGAAGCTGTCAAACATAATGTCACGGTAGCTTTATGAGCTGAGAGGACGTCGATGGTAATGACAGAGAATACGTTTGTGTGCGCTGTGGTCTCTGACCGTCTCCGATTGGCACGTTGACAAGCGGCCATAAAGCCGGGTCGTCTGATGAATTCATTCGCCAGCCACTAATGAATTAGCGCTTCCCTTCTTTGCCCACACTCGCCTTTCCAATCACGTCAAAGGCCTGGCAGAGGAAACAACGGCTTAATGAAAGACAAAAAAACGCCAGGGAACATCAACCACGAGGGCAGGTAACACATACAGCAGGGTGAGACGGAAGCTCGATATGAAGTCATCTGCATCTGTGACTGCTTTTCAGGAAAACAATAACCGGTGACACGCGACAGGAATACGCATCATCAATCATGGGGAAATATTGTGCCGTGCACCCCAACCCGGTCTGCGTGATTCAATGGCCTGACATTTCTCGTGCTGAAAAATAAACAGAAATCGTCCAGATCAGATGGCAAAAGTGAGAGAGAGGGGAAAAGTAATCTTGGGGAATCACTTCTCCTCGGGTTTGATAGATGGCCGTCTCTCTCCGGTTCTTCCTCTAAGTGCTTCATACCTGATCAAACTCTATTTCTGGGCCTGAAGCGTGCGGGCTGGGATATTCATCAGCACAGTTGTGTGTATACATGCTGCACATTATTCCTGAAAGATCGTAGAGGTGTGTGACTCATAAAAAAAAAAAAACATGTGTCGATTTCAGCCAATCACAGAGCTGCAAACAGAACAAAAAAACAAATGAAAACTCCTTCCCTCATAATAGCAGCCAGGCAGGTCACAGATGCCTCTCGTGAGGGCTATAACACGGACACACTTTTCAATTCTGTGAAAATAATGTTTTTTTTTTTTTACCTTAAACCACATAAACAAATGCATTACACCAAATACACAAAATAATGTTCTTTTTAGCAACGTCATATGACCCCTTTAACTTCTCTGTTGTTACAAACTTTCTTCTCATTTGTGACAAAATCCAGTGAATTGATTTGCATTCAAGTTAGCAGCCATCTCGCCCTCTCTTCTCTCAGCTCAAACGCAGATATTGGCCCGAGGAAACATGATGTCAAACAATGCTGACTAATGTCACTACCTCTTGTAATCCATTACCTGCTCCACCTGCATGCTAATGAGATACGGAGCCTGTTGCCATGCCAACCCCACCTGCCAATCAACGCCTAGGTCACGACAGGATTTCACCGGTGCAAGTGAATGCGCTGTTCGTTTGTTAAAATGATAATGATTTTGAGTGTTATCGTGGAGAACACAATCATCTATAAAAAGCTGATGTAAAAAAAAATAATAAATAGGCAGGCAGAAAATTGTTTGACATTTTGTGATATTTCTCATAAGCAGTATTATAATTTTTGTTATTATTACTTTGAGAAGTACATTCTACTGTACAATAGTAACATATTTCTGTCATCAATTATTTAAAAATCAATCTTTTTGCAGTTTAACATTCATAGACACTTAATTATACAGCCTTACTTTTGATTTATTCATCCAAATTTTGCCAAATTCTGTGACATTCTGCATTATACAGTAAATACAATTTTTATAACTGGATTCTGTGATTAGAGCATAGAGTCCTACTTTACCTCACATTCTTAATTTTCGCTCCAGTTCCCTGTACAGTCTTCCATCTTCTCATTCGTGCCCCTCTTTCACTCTAGATAACAAATAAACCTGACAAAAGTCTGTCTAAATCTCCCACCGTGATCGTCCACAGAGGGGCACTGACATCAATCACACCTGTGTGACCTGCGCTGAGGCCTTCACAAACACACAGTGAGTCGGCACACACAAACACAGGTAAAATCCTCGGAATGTGATTGCGGGTGATGCCGTGCAAACAAGGCTGGAATTACAGGGATTAAGGAGCAGACCAGACTAATCTGAGATCGGCCGCCATGTGTGTGCTGTACATCGGCTCCAGATGTGTGAGATTACCTCTCAAAAAGACACACCTGGGCCACAGTTTTCACCCCCAGAGGGTATTGGGTAACCGCTAAAACACAAACACACACGTATGAGAGCTTACAGCCTAAAACAGAGCATCCCACAGAAAAATATCTACATAAATATTAGGGCTGCACGATAAATCGCATGCGATATTTAACTGACGAGCTGCGCAAAACCACGTTCATATTCGCGCGATTTTTTGCGCAGCTCGTCAGTGAACAACGGCTCTGTGTAGTTAATGCTGCTCAATGTGAACGCACGCACGTGATGGAGATTTACCGCTGATTACAGAACCGGCTTTCTGACAAGAAAAAATCGCATGCGATTTATCGTGCAGCCCTAATAAATATACATGGTAATATACAAAAGACATAAAACAACCTTCATCTGAAATTAGGGATGTAACGATTCACTCAACACACATTGTGATACGACTCACAATACTAATTTCACAAATGATTTTCTCATGATTTTCTTTTACAAAATGAGATTTAAGACAAATTATAAATGAAAAGGTGTCTTTTTATTATTTCTCAGACAAAAGTCTGTGTATTTCTATGTGAAATTGAAACGTCAAATAACAAAACTAAACTGAAATTTTAAAACATAAACCAAATAAATGAATAATGCAAATAAAAGAAATCTCTTCATATAAACAAACTAAGCCTTTGCCTGTGCTCTTTCCATTTCAAATTAGAGGCAACCACTGCATTTTGATCACGATCCAAAAAAAAAGATGTTGCATACATGCAGCATGAGCAGTTTTTGATTTAAATTAAATTTCGAAACTTGAAGCAAAAACAGAACGGTCTGACTTCAGCTGTGTGAAACTGTACTACATAAAACATATCTGCATGAAACAAAAACAGCAGACGGGCTGCATGAGCATTTGCGACTGAAAACTACTGCGTGCGACTATGAAATAATATTTAGGAGCACCTGTGCGACTGACCCGATCAGCATATTTGTGTTTGCGCTGAGGGAGGTTCAAAGGTTCTAACGTACTTATGTGTTTCTGCAGCGTTGAGTAATGTATCACAGACGTATCCTCTCATTATAACAAAGTGTTGACAGGGTGTAAATAAGATATTCATTGTGCAGTGTAGGGAGCTTCGTCGATTATAATGGAGTTTTGTGAGATCGCGATGAACTAAGATGAGTGACAGCTTTTAATGATTATTAAGGGAGTTTGCAAATGTGATATTGATTTAATACAACAGTTCATTAAACAAGAAGTTAATATTAAGTGACTTATATTGTCTGACAACAACACAATTGCCTTATTTTGCTCTATTTCGTCAAGGAAAATAGTTTCAAACAAAGTAACAGCTGAGCCGCTGCGCATTTCCATTCAAACACAGCGGTGATTCGTTTATGAATGAACTGCGTTTTTAAACGAATCTAGTGAGTCAATGATTCAATTACCCATTCATAAAGACATTTTTATCAGAATTTTTGATTACGGATTAGAAGGTGCTCCTACATTTTTGACCGTGCTCCTAAATGTTTTAAATTAGGAGCACAAGCGCTCCTAAAAAGAAAAGTAAGTGTAGAGCCCTGAAAGCGCGCTCACACACACAGAGAGA